GTTGCCTTCTTTGCCTTCTTGAATAACTTTATATTTACGTAAATCTGAGTTAATGAACATAATAATATAACAGTATCAGTAGTATCAGTGTTGCGATCAGTCAAAACATAATTTGGCTGATGCTCAGAAAAACAGCCTCGCATGTGGAGACTGACACACACGTGTGTGTGTGTGTGTGTGTGTGTGTGTGTGTGTTTGTGTGGACTGGACCCGTTTGTTGGAGTTTAACGTGAGACGCTGTGCTGACTGTGCAGTTCATGTAAAGGTGATCGGGTCTAAGAGTCACAAACACAGTGAAACTCGGCTGAATTAACAGAGCAAATGTTATCGCTCATTCTCAGTTATGTTTCATACAAAGTCTCAAATAGACTGTGGCAATAGATACAAATGTAGATTTCTTAATTCTTTAAAGAAATTCTAAATTCTATGGCTCAATCCAGTCAGCAGCTCATAAAAACAGAATTAGAGCAACAAAATTCGATAAATTAAATCCAATAATATATATATATATATAAAAAGGATAAAAATCAAGCTAGAAGTCCACAGTGTTTGGGAAAGTTACTTTTAAAAGTAATGTATTACAGTATTGCATTACTCCCTAAAAAAGTAACTAATTGTGTTACTTAGTTACTTTTTATGGAATGTAATATTACACGTTACTTTTGCGTTACTTTTTGTCATCTGGCCTGGCTTGCTTGTTTATTTTTAATATAAAAAAAATGTTTTAAGATGTTTATGTTTATCTAAAGTCGTTTTTGCTCATTAGTGTGGTTGAATTGGATCATCAAAGGTCAGCAGCAAAGACTTTGGTTAATATAATGGGATTAAATGCGTAAATACATACTTGTAATGCGTTACCCCCAACACTGGAAGTCAATTTAAACTAGTTTAGTGATCATTAAAAGTGCAAAAGTAGATAATCTAATCCACAAGCTATTAAATCAATGTGAATGGCAGATGAGAAATGTTTGCGTTCATACTGAGATCGCTGACAAATCTGAGCACAATCTGAGACATTATTGAGATCTTTTGAGGAGACTCGTCGAGAAATCTAGGGAGAAAATGAGAAAGAGCTTCTTGTGTCCAAGATGTGATTATTTTTGTGTTTTCCTTTGGTAAATATCTACATTTAGATTGTAGATTTATTGTCATTGTAACAAAATTACAATAAAATTCTGTATGACTCAATCCAGTAAGCATCGTATAGATTCAGTGATGTAAATCCAATAATATATAAACAAAATAAAAATGATCAAAAATCAATGTAGAAGTCAATATAAACAACTTTTGTGATTATCAAAAGTGCAAACGTAGATAAATAGATCATCTAAACCAGTAGCTATTAAATGAATGTGAATGAGTTCATACTGAGATCTCTGACAAATCAGAGAAAAGTTGTAGATCTGTTCTGGAGCTAGTGGAAATCTTGTGAGAAACGTGTGAGAAACAGGAGAAGAGTACAAATCTGCGTTTAATCTCATTGCTGTCTGGGAGAAACGATTGAGATATCAACAAGATCTCATTTGTGATATTCTTTAATATGAGAAAGTTCTAAGATGTGATTATAGCTGTGTGTGTTTTCCTTTGGTAAATATCCTTTCCCAGCTCTGTTTTTAGTGACAGGAATTAGTGAAGCTAATTAACCATCGTTCTCTTTATCTTCGCAGCCGATTAATCGTTTGCGATGATGTCAGTGCAGAAGCCTCCGCTCAGACGCAGCGCATCGACCATAGAATCAACCAATCACGGCGGCCCACTGTTGACTCCGCCCACCTCTCTCAACTTACGCTCCTCCCACAACCAGCAGCTGAGCTGCGACACCATAAAGGAGGGCGTGGTCACCGTTTCCAAGGAAACGCAAGACTCGAAGAGTCGCCAGAAATACGCGCTGACCAATATCCAAAACGCAATGGGTTTGAGCCAAAACCCCGCCCCTTTGTATCAAAGCCACGCCTCCTTTGACCGAAGACCCGCCCCGACGAAATCCGCCTCCTCTTCGTCTCTCTACTGCTCCTCGCTCTCCTTCTCCGCCTCCAATCCCAAACTGGCCAAAAACGGCACCAACCTGCAGCTCAAAGAGGAGCAGCTGGACCTCAACAAGAACGACAGGAACCTGAAATATACGCTCTTCTGCTCACCAGGGCTGCGTTTATTTGATCAAAAATACTGTAAAAATTGTGAAATATTATTAGTATTCAGAATAGCTGTTTTCTATGTGAATATCTGTTAAACTGTAATTTATTTCTGTGATCAAAGCTGTATTTTCAGCATCATTACTCCAGTCTTCAGTGTCACATGATCTTCAGAAATCATTCTAATATGCTGATTTGCTGCTCGAGAAACATTTCTGATTATTATCAATGTTGAAAACAATTGTGCTGCACAATATTTTTGTGGAAACTGTGATGCATTTTATTTTTCAGGATTCACAGATGAATAGAAAGTTCAAAAGAACAGCATTTATTTGAAATCTTTTGTAACACATTATAAATGTCTTTGCTGACACTTTTGATCAATTTAATGCAGCCTTGATAAATCAATTGATGTAACAATTTCTTTCAAAAAAAAAATCTTTCCAACCCTAAACTTTTGAGCAGTAGTGTTTGTATCTGAAGTCATGCACATCTTTATATGTATCTCCTGTGTAGCAGGAAGCAGCAGTTGCTATGACGACAGACAGTTTCTGAAGTGTGTGTGTGTGTTGTAGTTGTTTGGGAAGAGCCTCCTCTGGCGCAGGACGTGTCTCAGGAGTATTTTTGGCGTGTTTCAGCTGATTCCACTCCACAAGATCAGCCTGTGGCCGGCGACGCCCACTCTGACCAGGAGGTGGAGCTTAGGGTGAAGGGGGCGTGTCTTCCTGTGCCCTGCACTAAAGCACAGAGTGAGGTAGACGCAGATCTTCATCTCATAATCATAATGTATTTCCTGTTGAAACAGGAACTTAGGGCGGGAAATATTGAATTAACAAATATTGATTGTTTTGAAGTTGGCACGAAACAGAATTTGAGTATGAGTGAAACAGCTTCTCAAACGAGAAAAAAATGATTTTGTTCGTGAGGACTGATTGAATCGCTGTTGTTTGCTAAAACTAAAACTATTAAAAAAACATTTTCATTACTTGAAATAAAATAAAAATGAACTAAAATTAAAAAATTAAAAATTAAACTAAATCCATATAAAACATTTTAATTATGTATAGACATTAAAAAAAAAAAAACGAACTAAAATTAAAATGAAAAAAATTCAAAATATTAATACAAATATATTAAAAGTTTTTTTTTCTTTCAATGTGTTTTTGTTTAAATGCATGAAATAAGGACTGTTTATCTCAAGCCCAAGATATTTTCATGTTTTATTTTTATTCTTTTTTTTATATTTTTATAACATAAAATATATCAGTAATTTTGTAAGCTCTTGTCTTGAAAAAGCTAACAGGTGTCTTCGTGGGACTGCAGAGGTTGTCATTAATCGTCATCCCAGTGAACAGATAAACTCATCTACTCACTAGCTTGATCATAAACTATTGTTAATAATCCAAAAGCTGATGGAAAAATCCTTTGGGGTTTTTGTCATTAGTCAGACACACGTACAAATACTCCAGTGAGCGACAGGTTTTCCTGAAACTTTTACAAGTATACTAGTATATAAATGAGCTCAAAACTGCAGACGTGAACTGAAACACAGCTGCGCAACTTCTGTCAATCTGTAGAAGCTGAGAAGATTGTTTAAATGAACATACAGTAATATTATTGATTGTCTGACACTGATCGGAGGAGAGCAAAACTTATATAGAATTATATAATTATATTATATAGAAACTTATAGAATAATGACACTATAGTCTTTGCTAAGCTTCCTTCTGAATTTGTTTCATAATTCAAATGTCAAATGAAAATGTATTTATAAGGCACTTTAAAAACCAAATTTAAATAATAATTGTAATAATAATAATTTTAAATATAATTTTAAATAATATAAATAAAT